AAGAAACCCTGGCTTGGTACCAACAATAGAAAGCTAACTACCAAGTAATTTAGATTATTTATAGAAACCAAGGTTAAAACCTAACACTGGAAAGTTTCTGTAATTACTATGGAAACACAACCTTGGTGTCAACATTGGAAAGCTAGCTATTAAGATTTTTAGAATTTTTGTAGAAATACAGACTTTGGTATCAACAATGCAAAGCCATCTACCAAGTATTTCGAATTAGTTGTAGAAACCCAAGATTGGTGCCAATAATGGAAAGTCTCCTGTTAAGTACTTGTAGAAACCAAGGCTAAGTGCCAATAGTGGAAAGCTTAGTTTAAGTTCAGATTACTTGTAGAAACACAGGCTTAGTACCAAAAATGGAAAATCAGCTACCAACTAATTTAAATCACTTGTATAAATCTAAGGTTGGTGCCAATAACAGTAAACGATCTATGTAATTAATAATGTAGATTACTATGTAGAATCATAGGCTTAATGCCAACAATGTAAAGCAATGATAACTAGATACCAAGAAAAATTCAGATTATTTGTAGAAACACAGGCACGGTGCCAACAATGGAAAGCTAGCTTGTAGTTCAAATAAGCTGCTTTATATACTAATGTCCATCTAGTGTTGAAAAGATGAGAAAAATATATGCATTGATTCTTCATGATAATTATATTTCTCCTGGAATGAACATTTATTTGAATATCACTTTATGTAACGCTAAGGAAGTTTCTATAATTTGAATAGATAGATTAGAAAAGGGATAAGTACCATTTAATAATAGCAATGTATTGTGGACATTGTTTGAAGAATAAAAGGACAGTTCTCAAAGTATTTAAACGGGTAACTAACAGTGTTTAATATCTGGAATAAGTGGATTTAAATAGTATCTCTTTTTTGTCCCATTTTCTCTGTTTTCTTAACTCAATTTAACTGAAAATCATAGAATAATGGTTGGATACGAGGTGAAAACACGACTAATGTGTTGATAAACATTTCGGGCATCAAACTTTTCATACAATAGATGCATATTTAAGCAAATCCGCATCTCTTACGATATTTCACTGAACATTAATTCTTAATCATACAGATTTGAAAATTCAAGTGGGTTTTTCAAGTTTATGGTTTCGCTAGTTTCTTAACAATAAATCTTATAATTATAAATATCATTTTCTCGTATTGTCTTAATATTCATTCACAAGGGATATTTACATAATAAATGGAATTTGAATATGTTTTTACGGTACTCACTCATTAAATATTTAAACATTTAATAGTGAGTTATAGATAAAAAGCATTAAATGAAAGTTAAATACAACTGTATTATTTTCAAGAATGTTGTCTTTAATTGTGAGTTATAGATAAAAAGTATTAATTGAAAGTTAAATACAACTGTATTATTTTCAAGAATGTTGTGTTTAATTGTGAGTTATAGATAAAAAGCATTAATTAAAAGTTAAGTACAACTGTATTATTTTCAAGAATGTTGTGTTTAATTGTGAGTTATAGATAAAAAGCATTAATTAAAAGTTAAATACAATTGTATTATTTTCAAGAATGTTGTGTTTAATTGTGAGTTATAGATAAAAA